TTTTTGTGCTGTTCTAGATACTCAGTTATTCTTTGTTTCAATTCTTTTATTTCTTTAGTTAAAGGTCTTCGTTCTTCCTGAGGAAGAGGTGCCTGGTTTCCAAATGAAAACAATTGTATATCTCTGCTGGATTCCTCTACTGCCAATTCCCCCTGCCTGTACATTCTCAGTTACTTCTGACAAGACTTTGATTTCTTTGCCCTGGGTAAACCTTTGCAGTTCATCCAATTCTGTTTCTGTGAATACTTTATTTTGTATTATAAATCGATGTTGATCTGCTAGTCTCTTTTTTGCAATTTCTGATTCTGGATGTTGTTCTTTCCAGAACAGTCAGTGCAGTCATTTCAGATATCCTCTTCTTATTGGACTTAATCTGTAATAACAGATTATTATTTCTTTGTTTTCAGTCACTGTGTATTTGTGACAAGTAAAAAACTTTTCTTTCAGTAGTTCTGCAGCTGCTAGTCCTGGTTGCTCAGCCAACAGTCCTGAGTCCTGTAACCCATTTTTCACCAGATATCCAGGAACTGTAACATCTAGTGCGGACCTTGTTAACCCAGGTGACATCCAAGCTGGTATGGCTTTCTGAAATTTACGTCTCACCATATTTTTTTATGGGAGAGACACTCTTTGTCTGACTCCTCTGATGAGACCTGTCCAGTATGGTTGAACCTCTGGCATAGCTTTCATCTTTCTCGGAGCATGCAAGCCCCATAACCACGTCAAGGTAGTGCCTCACTGGGGGATTATTATCATTATCATTATCCATCTTATGCAATCATGTTGTGGAGTGTTGCAAAGAACTGTTTTATTGTTTCAGTAGTATTTCTTAATTATATAAAACAAAACATAATGATTTTGGGAGCAACAATGTTGTCAATATGTCATAAAAGTATTCTAAAGTTGACCTCACTGTTAAGAGCAGGACCACAATGCCTCCATTTCCAACTATGGTATGTTGATCAAGATGGCACTGTTTCAAGACATCAAAACTATTAAGAGATAAACAAGAATGAACAAGACCGCATCAATTACTTTCTTCCTAATAAATGTCATCAGGTCAATCTGATCTGAAAAGTAGACTGAGACCTAAACTGGGATGGAACCGAAACCAACAAGTCACCAAAAGGCATATACACATAAACATTTTTCCAAAAATGGCATTGGGGTGGTGACTGATTTTGCTTTCATTTACATTAGTTCCCAAGTGCTAGAGATACATTACAGTATTTAAGCTGCAAAATTTCCAGGATGCTCTTTCTTGTCGTATATTAATAATCCAGAATTTGCAGCCCAGATATGATAGCCCATAATTCTGAATTCCAAAGTATTAGTGGTGTTTATTGTGTTCTGTTGCTGCGAAAAACAGCCTTTTGTCACTGCATCTTGAGTTTAGAAATCCCCAACTAGCCTTTATTCATCCATATCATTTTCCAAATGATATAACTTTTATTTTTAATAGTTTGCTTTACCTATTAGATGTACATTTTATTGTATAAACTAACTGATTCCCTCCTATAATCTTTAACAGTTCTCTGCGAAGAAATAATTTAATATGTCTCATTTGTGTGGGTGGGTGTGTCAAAAGGCCAAAAAGCGACACACACCCCAAAAAGGCCACGGGTGTAATGGCATAATGCAAATGCTAAAATCTCTCTGTTAAACATTGAATACCGAGTATGTAATGGTGGTGTTTGTGTGATGACGTCATTGCACAATGTCATGAATGTAATGTTATAGCTGGTGTCACTTGTTACATTTACCAAATTACACTGTTATCGATGTCAGAGACTCTGGAATAGGTGTCTCGCACTTGGAAGAAAGAAATCAATTGAACTCCTTTCTACCTATGGATTTTCACACATATCTCTTAATAAAGCAGTTTCTTTGGTTTCTGATTAGCCTAATCCCTAGTTATTACAGTTTTGATGGATTTCTCCACACAGATCTTTATTTTCAAATGTTGCTATTTTTCACATTGAGAAAAAAATATGGTTGCTGTGTGAGTCCTTGTATTTATTTAAGACTCAGCATTTTTTCTTTTTGATTAATATGTACCTTGATCCTACAGGACACTTCTATAGCAAACTAAGCAACCTCAGAGCAAATTAATAAAAATTCTCCTTCCAACACTTTATTGTAAACCTATCTTTAAAGTTATATATACAGTAACTATCCAGAGCAAGGCATGCAGCTCTCTCTCTCTCTCTCTCTCTCTCTCTCTCTCTCTCTCTCTCTCTCTCTCTCTCTCTCTCTCTCTCTGTGTGTGTGTGTGTGTGTGTGTGTGTGTGTGTTTGTGTGTATAATTTTATCATAATCTATCACCAGGTCTTTCTCCTGACACTTAGAAACCTCATTCAGAAAAATGCCTCTCTGGATTTACTATATAGATTTAACTAGATGTGTATAGCACTAAAGATTATAAAGGATAGTGTTATGTACTTTTGTGCAGCATAACTCTGATCAATAGGATTTACTCCTTAGTAAACATATACAGATTTTGCATTTTAATTTTGAAACTAATCATCTATTTTTTGATCTCTTTGCATAATTCTTGCACAAAGCTTAGTATTTAGTTTTCATTTGAAGCAAGGCCGTGAAAGGAGCGAATCATCTTTTTCCAAAGGCTGATTTTTTTTTCTTAACTACTTAATTTCATCACTAGAATTCACCAGTCTTGACAAATGCTACTACCTGCTAATTATGAATCTTGCTGGAGGAACTTCTGGCCTTTAATCTAAATAGAGCTTGAACTATTGTCCCGACTGTTCAGATGAACAAGTATAATTTGGGATTAGCTTTCATACATTTAAATTTATGAAAAAGTCTGTGCAATATGATTGTTTTGTTGAAATAAAAACAAAATGCACACATAAAAAGGGATTATCTCAACATGTTATTAATATGCTTAAATTATTTCTTACTGTATACACTATTAATATTTTCTCTGATTTGAATTTCAGAAATTTATGTGATTTGGCTAGCATTGTCTATTATTATCTATAAAAATGGGTTCTTTCTTGTTGACCTGCAGACTTAAGTCAGGTTGACAACTTTTAATGAACTCTCAAATGACCTTTTATTGAAAGCGTGATTTATGGCAAGAACATTGTATACCAGTCTCATTGCTATAGAAAGTAAGCAAGCAAGCATAGATACACAGAGCATACTCAAAATGTTCAGTGGGCATGAGTACCTTCTCTACAAAAAATAAAATAAAAAATATTTTGAGCTCAGTCATTTAGAAACACACACACACACACACACATACACACACACAATGCATGATAAGGAGAGAACAGAATAAACATTTTTGTCCTCACACTAAAAGAAATTTGGCTGCTCACAAAATAAACCGCAATGGATTCAATAGAAAAATCCTTCTTTAAATTAAAATGCAATGGTAAAAGAGGTCTAGATCAGGGCTTTTCAACCTTTTCACCCATTGTATCACTTTTAGGATATGGCAATATCCGAGTACCACCAGTCACCTAGCACGGTGTCAAAAACTTGATGACCAAGTTTTTAAAAAAAAAAGAAAAAAGAAAAAAAGCGATAAAGTACAGGTAGTCCTCGATTTACTACAGTTCGCTTAGTGACTGTTCGAAGTTACAATGGCATTGAAAAAAGTGCCCCCCCAAGCCACAGCTGAGCAAGACACCTGCCTGCCCACCCAGCGGCATTCTTCCTCCTCCGAGGCTGTCATTGTGAGCATTTCTGTTGAGAATTGGCAGCGAGGGTGGTGTGGGATGGTGTTTGGTTTTTATTCCCCCCCCGTCTGCTAGGTGGTTGCAGCAGGTTTTGGTCACTTCACATAACCCTGGGACACTGTGACTGTCATAAATATGAATCAGTTGCCAAGCATATGAATGTAAATCACAAGACCCTGGAGATGCTGCAACATTCCACCTGATCGGCGCTTCTTCAGGGCTCAGCAGAAGCACCAGGATCAGCACAGAGCTCCAGCTGGAGCCTGGCACTAATCCTGGTGCTTCCACTAAGCACTGATAGCCCCGAAGAAGCGGCACTGATCCTGGCGCTTCCGCTGAGCTCTGACAGCCCTGCAGCTCCAGCCATCTCTTGCTCAGGCTTGTGAGGTGCTCCCACTGGTTCAGCTCATTCCCCTCCTCCACTACCACTTTTCTAGGATGGTCGCATACCACCTGCCAGGTGCCAGTGTACCACAGGTGGTACCCGTACCACTGGTTGAAAAGCCCTGGTCTAGATCCTTTTATGTAATGTTTGTCATTAGGAATGAATATCAGTTACAATGTCAGGAAATGGGAACATATATGCATGTTTTGGCTTATGAGTAGCCTGAGGCAGTTGGCTGGATTTTGACTAGATGACATTGTCATGGTTGAGGTGATGATGAAGAGATTTGACCTAAAATATTTCTTTCCATGCAAGTACCTGTCACATTCATCTATATCTCCTGCCTTTCACAGAAGATCTTCCCAGATATTGATGTAGGAATTTCATTAATCATCTTTGGATCCAATCCAAAATTGAAAGGACAGCAGTCTCTTTATATTTAAAAAACAAAACTTAATGAAAGTTATTTTTATTAAATAAATATATTTAATTCAGTATCTTGAACAACTGTTTTAAGTCATAGGTGAGAGATAAATTGAAAACGTGACAACCCAAGTTTCAATATCTTGCTGCTCTTTGACATTCAAATGCAGCAGTTGGGAAATGTTTCATGTCCAGAATTTTTGTATATCTCATAACTAATTAAAGATGCACCACAGAGGTCTATATAATCAATGCTTCTTCAGGTCAAAACTGATTTTAGGTTGAAAAAAAAAGAGCTTAATTAAGAGGTTGTGTAAAACTTCTACAAGAAAGTTGCAAGTAGAGAAAATGTACAAATAGAATAAATGAGTAAAAATATTTTTATTATTATTGATAGTCAGCTTGGTCTTGTGCTTAAGGCACCAGGCTAGAAACTTGGAAACTTTGAGTTCTAGTCTTGCCTTAGGCATGAAAGCCAGCTGGTGACTTTTGGCCAGTCACTCTCAGTCCATGATGTCAGGCTTGGTCAACAAGTCAGTTGATCAATTCCTATCCAAATGAATGGATCGACATTCAATTGTTCTGAAAAAAAGAAGCTTCATTTGTGGTAAAATGCTAGGAAGAAAAAAATATTATCATCATTTCTTAGATTTTTATAGAAAGGAATATATAAATAACAAAATACAAACAACAACTAGGAAACAACAACAACCAGGAAAAATGCAGGAACAACTACAAAAACAAGAACATCAAAGGGAAAGGGACAATTAATATACTTATGTCACATGTTAATAAGTGCTAGATTTCTAAATCTACCTAAATATTAGATTTCTATTTATCTAAATAATTATAATTATAATTGTCTAACAATCTTGCTCACAGAAAATAGTAGATGAAATTGCCTTTTCAAAATCTGGTAAATCATACATCTCTTGAATTCAATCCTTAATATTAGGAGTATTTCTGGTATTATCAGTTTCTCAAAATAATTCTCTTAGATCCAATACAACAAAACTCCTTAAAAATAGTCAAATTTCAAAGTTTTGGGACATAATTAAACAAAACCTAAGCATCTTTTTAAAAAATCCCTATAAATCTATTTAAGTACATTAAAATATTATTTTAAGAGGATGTCAATGATTCATAAGATCAAATCATATAATCCAAAGACCACTCATTTTTAAAATATTTTAATATATTTTTAAACTTGAAGTAAGTTAGTTGAATGAATAGTTTTAATTTTAAATCTGATATGAATATAATATTTTTCAGACCTACAATCATTGATGTTCCATTACTAGGGATTCCAATTCTATAATCCATGAACCACAAATAATTATAAAGCTATTCACACGTTGTGGCTAACTAGGAAGAAAAAAACCCAATTTATTTCATTTGATCTACTGCAATCAACTTTCAAAATGTTGGCAAACTTTCAGCAAACCAATTACGTAAGGACTAGATACTTACCTTGGTGCATGTTTATGAAATCCTTTCTTAAAATAGTATCCTCTATGTGAGGAGATGTCCTTTCTCAGGCTGATATGTTTCCTAAAGTCAATGGCAACCAAAAGTCATTTTATAATTATATCAAGTGATATTTGACAATGGAAACACAAAGACATCTGATTCAACCAATCATAGATCAGGAAGTCATATACAAAGGAATTTTAAAAAAGGTTTTCCACAGTACTTGCAGGACTAAGGTGTCACTAATTCAGATGGTATTTCAGAATTTGTCTTTTCTCAAATGAAGGCTTTTATTCCTCTGGTTTAAAACTTTTTATCACCTAATTGTTATTAATTGCATTTGGTTCAAGGATTACCCAGTAACAAGAATTGATTCTTAAAGCTCATCCTAGATGTTAAGTGCTTCTATGTTTTTTAGCCCTTTTCTCTGGATATTGAGTGAATTGTACTCATAAAGATGTGGCTAAATGTTTAGATCTGCTTGGATTCAACTGCCAAGGCTTCCAGACACTCAAGTGTTGTGAAAGATAATCCTGGCATGTTGATAATTTTGCATGCAACTAAGATCACACTGGGGAAAAAGTTCCCCAAAATGTATATAAATATAAATTTTGTAAAACTCAAGCAATCAGTTGTTAAACATCTGCTTCAGTCATGGGTTATGGAAACTAAAAAGACAGCTTTCAAATTGTAGTGAACGTAGGACATATCAAAGCAGAAAGATTTCCCTAATGTCAAGGATAGACTTGAAAGTAAACTTTCTGTTCTGCCCAAGAAAGACATCTCAGTTACTTCAAAACTATCAATAAAAAATTCTTTTAAAAATGTATCACTACTCTATGTATTTTCATGTTTATTTGTGCAGTACTCTCTGTGCCACACCTCAGCACATCAAAGAGCTACTGAAATCCAATTATTTATGATACTTTTGATTAAATCTCTTGTTTTGTTATTAGTAATCATCTATTTCTTCACCTCTTCAACACCATTTATAATGTCAACACCGTTTATAATGTGCATAGAAAGCAATTTCGTATAAGTTGATTTTGCTTATTTTCTGCATGGTATTGGTATTCTATTAAATATAGCACTGCATTTCTCATTTTACTTCATTGGTACTTGTGTGAAATAGGCAAATGGGCCATGTTCAGGAATACCGTATTCTGCACCTCAAGTGTTGTCACAAATAATTAGCATTCACCAGTCCTTGGATATAACTCTTTTGCAGGCAGGTTTTAAATAATTTTGAATGAGCGTGTACATTTTCAGTCCCTCTTATCCTCTGTTCTAAGCAGAAAGATCTGAACAGCTTTCATTCCAAAAATTATAAATATAACAATTATCCCAGACTCTCCAACTCTTCTGAAGCTATTACATAATAACTGCAGTGCCTACAGGAAGAGGTGGGCATTGAATCTGTCAAATCATTAAAGTGAATTAGATGGAATCACAGATTTGCACTGTGCAACATTATAAATCTATTGCACAGATTTATGCACCTAAATCTATTATTTATGATTCTTACAAATGGCTGCCAATTTCATTCCCAACCCCCAAATAAGAGCTTTCTGTCTCTGCCCTGCTCACTCTCATGCCTATTCCTCTTGTTTTTCTGACGCATCAATTCATAAAACATTCCTGAAGTCTGAATCCTGCTAACTCTGATCTAAACTAGGAGTCTCTTCCACCCAGTCATCAAACATGGTGGTATTTAAGGATAACAACAAAAGTCAGAGGAGCATAAGAGTGCTGAATGCTCAATGGATCTATTAGAGCTTTGGAGGAATTAATGACTAAAGGATGTCAGATTTAATAAGAGTCAGGTGTGCTTCATAAGGATCAAAGACGGCTAATATTTAGGAAGCTAACTGGATTGGCTAAGAACAGTGCTGGAACAGTGCCTTCTTGTGAAAGTTTTGTTATGGAAATCTGAGCTGTCAAATTCTTTATTGTAAATCTGCTTTTGTTTTCTTTGTTGTTTTGCTGGTTAGTCATTTTTCTTACATGTATACGGTACTTGGATAAGATTTAAGCTTGGGGCAAGATAAGATTAGCTCCTTGTGAGCTCTGGTCATCAGAAAAGAGAGTGGGAGAAAGAGCTACCATATATTTTGGTGCTTCTAAGATAACTACTCCAGATACTTTGCTATAAATGAACGCATGGTCCTGGATCAGGCTAATCTTAGGATAAATGATATTTCCTTAGTAATAAATGCAAGCTGAGGAAACATTGTCTCATAAGGCAAGTGACTGTTCTGTCAACTGTCTACAGAACTTTCAGGACACTGTGAAATGACTGTATGCCATGCTGATTGAGGGAAGGACATAAAGTGGGCTTGTTTGCTGCTAACATATAAATGGACATGGGAAAGAACTGTGCATCCTTCCTGACACCCAAAAGTCCCTGCCCATATGAATGATGCTGTCAAGACCAGAGATATGAAAGTTACTTCTGTGTGTATTCAAATTCAATCCATTTTCTTTTCAAGAATAAATGGATATTTTTTCCAGTGGCATTGCATTTTGAAATAGTTTTTAAAAATCCCCCCAAAAGTGGAGGGAGCAGTACATAACAGTAGAAAAGCTCCATTAAATACTAACATATATAATCCAAGGTTTGTGGCTTCCAGATCTTCAGACTTTGCTGTTCAAGCCAACTGTTGCTTGGGAGCAGTGATATTGGAATTAGAATATTGCGACAGTTCCATATGTATATCTCCATTCCCTTTTTACATTTGAATATCTTCTTCTGATATAAAATTTGAACAGAGTTAAAATTCATTCAGGAGGTTATGCATATCAGTAATATTCAGCTATCACTGATATCAAATATAATGAATGTAGGTAAGCTTTATACCATCAAAGCAATAGCTGGATGATGCTATAATTTGCTAGCCTTGGTAGCTTCCAAGCTGCAATTTCAATTTTACAAAGCATTCTTAATGAACTCAGTAGGTTCAAAGGGAAAAGTCACAAATGACTCAGAAATTGGGTGTATACTAATGAAATCCTGTGCATATCTACTCACAGGCAAATGCCAAAATTTTAAAAGGAGCATATTTCCATTGAACAAAGGATCATATCTTTAATTATATCATGAGGTTTGGGCTAAAGCCCCTCTGAATTTACTTTATCTCATTTTAAAGCTTGTTGGAGAAGGCTAAATCTCCAACCCTTTAACCTCACTGAAGAATCTCCAGTTCTCAATGATGGGGGAGGCATCCATTTTGGCCCTAGATTTCAGGGCGCACAAACATATACTTTGTGTGCCCAGTAAAAGGCCAGATAAGATTCAATTTTTGGCAGTAGCTATCCCCTGAACCTTTAGGCTGGCCTTAGCCTTTCTCTCCATAGAAAGAGTTTTAATTAAGCCTTTTCTTTTTCTGTATATTTCTCATTTTGCAATGTTATTTTTGAGATGAAACAATCAGAATTTTAAATAATAATTCAAATATGCTTCCAGCATGCAATTGTAAAGTGAGAATGTCTCAAGAATACCTGTTACTTTATGAATTCCTTCCACAACTGAGGTGTTCTGGTTATCCTTAGAAGCCTTCTTCTGGGTATTGACAAGTGAATTGAGAAGGATTATTACAAGTCTTGTTCAGCTGTGAGACCACTTGTGGAATGGTTTGACATACCTGGCCAATAAGTATGTGACAACCACTAGGTAGTTTGGGGTATCTTTTGGGCGCTGTACGGTGAGCTTCTAAATTTTTGGTTCCTGAATATGATAACCCAAATACCTTCCATAGGTATTATTTGAGACCAGACCAAGAGCTTATCCTCACTTCCCTCTAAATAAAACACAAAGATGCTTCACCACTTAAAAGTTGTGTTTTCATGATGTTGCCTTTGATTCATCTCATCTCAAGTGCAGAAGCAGATTATATTTGCCTAATTGTTCCAGCTGTTACTTCTTTTTTTGGTAGAAGTTTATGCCTCATTAATGATATTGGTGATTCAGGGCTTAGCATCCTATTGGTCAATTTAAGCTGGTGTGGGTGTGCCTTCTCCCCTTGGCTTTTCTCTTCTGGATCATTTTAGTTGGGGAACAAATATTAGAACAAAAATTAGAAAACAAGAGCAGTTTATATACATATAAACATGTGGCAACAGAGATTTTTTCCATGATGATATATGTCCATCCACTTTGCTGCTGGTCATCCTCTTCTGTTTCCTTTCACTTTACCAGCATTAGAACCTTTTTCAAAGAGCTACAAATAAATTTAATGTTTCCATGTTAGTTTGCATAAAAAAGGAGAGAAGGTAGTGAAACCAAGCATATTTTTCCTAATTTCTTTCCTAATGTTCATTAACAGAAATTGCATGCTAGATGAGTTTTTAGATGGGAACTCCAATTCCCTTCTAAAATATAGCCAGTCATGCTCCCTGTCCATATCTCAAGCAGTAGGTTCATGTCCTAATATTACCCCATGGCTGATATTATTCAGTATGAAGCTTTTGTTTTTTTGTTTTTTAAAAAAAGCATTTTAAAATTGTCATTAGAAAACAGATTTATATCATGCTGAATCTAGAAATAATTTCTATAAAAAAAAAGATATTGGGCAAATACTTCCTAAATGCTGGCCAACAGGGTTGGCAGTTATCCTATAGTTTTACTAAATGGAATAAATGCAACGTCAGGATGATATGATCTGAATCTGCTACCAGGATATTTGGCTATCTTTCCCAGTAATCTCCATACGATTCAGGAGCCTTTGCACAACACACTAACTGGAAATGGCATTCCAGAACATTCTTTACAACACAGAGCTGCAATCTGTGCTCAAGGAATACCAAGAAGTATTTCAACACAGGTATTGATGCAATCTAGCCTGAGCAATTTAGCAATCTCATCTAAACAGGCCCTATAAATACTTGCTAGGGAACTCTCTGTCTTTGTTGGATTCACAGTTTGGTGTGTGAGCATCACCTGTTCCTATCCCGTCATGGCTCTATAATATTTCCTATATCAGAAGCTGTCTGTCATTGGAGAAAAAGAAGGATTCAGAGATGTCTCCTGGTGGCAACCCCACTGTGCTCACACCACACTTTCCTGGCCATTTACACACCTGCCATATGCCCAGCCATATTCAAACTGCACCTACCTGTGTCTCATGCACTATCCCTGGCACTCACGTACTCTCACACACTTTCCCACCTGGCAGCAGCTATTCCCATCCCCACTGGGCTCACATCACACCATCCATACCAGCCTCACATCCCTTACTTCTTCTCCCATCCAGCAGCAGCCACGACCACTTATTACCTGCTTGCCTGCTTGCCAACCACCAGGACTTGCCACTTTCTGCCAGCTTCCCCCACTGACTTTGGTTATTGGAAACTGGCAGGGAGTTGTGATGAGGTGCTCACTTAACAAGCGTGACTTAATGACAGCAACAGGTATAAGGCATGCTGTTGCTAAGTGAGGTACTCACATGGCATTGTGCTTTATGAGCACATCACTAGGAACAGAACTTTCAGTCCCAATTGCCAATGTAACTTGAGAACTACCTGTATTTACTTACAGAATCTGTAGCCTTAGGCCAGACTCTTTTCCAGCGGCTTGTGAAGGTGTCCAATTTTCAGGAGAAGACTCAGTGAAAAGGGAAGGATCCTGAAGTGACACATTTAACTAACATTATTTCTGTGTAATGGTCAGGAGACCCTCCAGGCTGAAGAACTAAACAGAACATAAGACAATACATTTATTGTTTGTTCTGAGTATCATCCATCCATCCATCCATCCATCTATCCATCCATCCATCATCATCATCATCATCATCATCACAATAACAATAATAAAAAGTTGGAAGGGACTTTGGAGGTCATCGAGTCCAACCCCCTGTTCAGGCAGGAAACCGTATACCATTTCGGACAAATGGCTATCCAGTCTCTTCTTAAAAACTTCCAGTGTTGGAGCATTCATCGCTTCTGGAGGCAGGTTGTTCCACTGGTTAATTGTTCTAACTGTCAGGAAGTTTCTCCTTATTCTAGGTTGCTTCTCTCCTTGATTAGTTTCCATCCATTGATTCTTGTCCTCCCTTCAGGCGCTTTGTAGAGTAGCTTGACTCCTTCTTCTTTGTGGCAGCCCCTGTGATATTGAAACACTGTTATCATGTCCCCCCTCATCCTTCTCTTCGTTAAACTAGACATACCCAATTCCAACAACAGTTCCTTATATGTTTTAGCCTCCAGTCCCCTAATCATCTTTGTTACCCTTCTCTGTACTCTTTCTAGAGTCTCAGCATCTTTTTTATATCATGGTGACCAAAACTGGATGCAGTATTCCAAGTGTGGCCTTACCAAGGCATTGTAAAGTGGTATTAATACTTCACGTGATCTTGATTCTATCCCTCTGTTAATGCAGCCTAGCACTGTGTTGGCCTTTTTGGCAGCTGCAGCACACTGCTGGCTAAAGCCAAGCTTACTTACATTATTTATTTGTTTGTTTGTTTGTTTATTGTTTATGCTGCCGTCTCATGATACAGCAACTCTGGATGGCTTATAACATAATAAAAAGTAAAACAAGATAATACAATGCAATTGAAATTAGAGGAGTTAAATAGGAATTTAAAGACCAATATGACGGGATGGGAATCTTCTCTTCCCTCTCAATCAATCCCAATATAACATACCTGTATTGGGGCCTTAGGCCGGCCAGCAGAGCCACATTTTTAGGGTCTTCTGGAAGGCAAGGGGGTGGACCTCAACTCCAGCATGAGAATATTCCAGAAAGTGGGGGCCACAGCAGAAATTACTCTTCTCCTGGACTCTGCCTGCTGAAATTCTTTCACTGTTGGTACCTGAAGTAGGCCTCTTCTGCTAGAATAAGTGGGGTGAGATGGTTCTTCAGATAACATATACTATCCTGCTTTTCCATTCTCCATCTCATCATTGCTTAGACTGCAGTGTAGGCCTCTTATAAGAACACCTTATAAGAACACTCTCTTTGACCAGACAATAGACTATGGAAATTGTAGCCACTGCAGTTTGTTCATTTGTTTTTGTAATAGAATCTGGAGAAAAGAAAACTCTCAAAATCTAGTCACTTTCTAAGTACGCAATTTGTTGTCAATGCAAATGAACTAATATGGTAAGTACAGATATTCTCTTGTAAATATTTTTTATGATGTTTGATTCACTTGGAAGAAAAAGTTTGCTATAGCAATCTTATTCAAAAAACAAGAGAATTAAATGTCATTGCTAGCATACACATATGAATGTCCTGCTATTGTATACTCATTTCTATAGCAGTCTGAATTCTACCCCCACCTCCCAAGGTTTTTCATGCTTCAATGAAATCTCTGCAGAGACATTATGGAAACTTCTTTCATTAGGCTTTTTTTTTTTTGTCAGCAATGCCTTCTGAGTATATGTCAGTACACTGCACGAATCTTTTGGTTTTGGAGATGCAAGCAATAATATAGGGTGATGACAGTTGCATGCTATCTTTTAGTGAATGATGATTATGAAAACATCAAATATGAATTCTGTGCAGCATCCTGAATGAATATGATCTAAAGGAAAAACCTGTTAGGTGACATGAATGGGTGGAAGGAAACAAAATGAGAAAGAAATACTAACTGGAGCCATTCAGAGACCCAAAAGAGAATGAAAATGAGGACTGATCAGAATCTGCTCAGAAAAAGATCTGTTTGTTTTGAATGAGCCTGTTCATACCTTTACATGTAAAGGAATATATATACCTGTACAGACATAGTTCAATTGATCCTTGTAATGGTGAAACACACAGAGAATTAGTGAAGAATGTAAGGGGGATGAAAAATTCAAAATGTTGGATAGACCATTGTGGTTTTGGGGGTAGGCTTCTCTGCCATTCCAATCCATTGAGTCACTTACATTTTCTACATACGGTGTTTAAGATTAAAACAATATTTTTGGTATTGGCAAGAGGGTATCATGGAGAAAAATTGACAAGAAATGAAAGAAATGAGAAATGAAATACAACTTAATACATGGCTGGGGTTTGCAAACCAGATTTTTTCTTCTTAACAAATTTCAGAAAAAAGTACAAAGAACATTTACATATTTGTTGATTTAGAGAAAGTATAAAATGAATAGACCAATTATGGGACATTTTGCATGAATAAGGAATTGAAGGTTAGTTGCTGAATGTGACAAGAGCAATGTGCAATGGAAGTAAAGCATGCATGGATATAAATAGAATGTTTGGGGATTTTTTTCAGCACAACAGGGAATCGAATAAGAATGTATAATATTAGTTTTTTTAATACGTTTATAAATAAATATGCAATGAAATGCCTGTGATGATATCCAAGTTGACTGGAAACATAAATCTTTGTATTGTATACTTTTGTAAGCAGATGATGCCATGTTGTTGAATGAGAATCTGAAATGTTAGAAATGTTAAACAGATTGTGTGATGCAATAAAGATTATGGATCCAAGATCAAATAGAGGCAAAATGCAGATTATATGCAAATGCTAAAAAAACCTAGAACAAGTAGATGCACTCATGTAGAAAGTTTACTAAATATGCTAAATACTGTAGATGAAGATATTTTAGATCATGCAAATCTTAGTAGGCAAGCAATGAGTGGTATGTTGCAAGGAATGAATACTTGTTGAAAGAATTTTAAAATGCTTTATTTAAAGATATTCTTATGCCTATTTTCTTAACCTAAAATTGAGAACTGGATATGTCAGTAGGAACATAAAAGAAAATTAGGTACAAAGAAAATAGGGAACTAAGAAGAGTGAGTGGTAAAACAAGAAGAAAGAAAATCAAGAATCTGAATGAATATGGACTAAATACAGATGACCATGGTATCCTTCTGGGTTGGCTCCAGGAACTGGGAGTGACACTTTTTTGTGGTGGTGATGGTTGTCCTTCTTCCACTGTGGCCAGTCCCATTTGGAGGAGAGATCCAGCAATGTCCAACCCAGTCCTAGACCCTTGCAGTATGGGATGTTTCAGGTTGCAGATCTCCAGAGTGGCTCTCACATTTCCTGCTTGAGGAGCATTGGTATTTGTGGCTAGGGAGGACCTTTGCCAAATTCAGCTTATGTATCAGATGTGTCCTTACTTGGAATGGGAGGTCTTTTTTATATATAATATTTTATTAATTTTCTCATTTTACAATTGAATATTTAAAAAGCAACGTGATGATTGGGTTAAATCAATAATTCAATACCGTACATAACTCTTTAGTATAAATCTCATGTTACAACATCAGATATTTCCTCTCTTTTTCCCTTAATATAGACTATCTCATATTGGGCTAGTACAATTCTTCTTATTATCAACTAAATAAAAACATCTTTGTTACAATTATCAATAATTTTAGCTTATACATATCTTAATTGTGTTTGCATTTGATCCTGATATACAATCAATGTCCTGTTATTGCTTTTTTTATTTTTCCAAGCTTTAATTTCCCATCAATATTCAAATTAACATTTGTTATTTATGATTTCCAAGTATTTTATATTTAGGTGACCAAAGTTTCCCTTATCTCAATTTCTTCCCTTTTCCCTTTTCATAGCAAAGTCTAATATTCTAATTACACATCTTATCTATTTGATTATATTCTTGTTCTGCTTTCTAAAAGTTATCTATTTTCCACCATATTAAACCGTCTAAATAATAACACAGTATCCCCTCTATTAAGTCAAAACCATTATATGGGTTGTTTGGGTTAACCAATAATTCAGTAATATACATAATTTTTTTTTAGTTTAGATCTAATATTGGAAGCTCAAATACTTCCTCTCTTTTTCTAATAATATCTGTTATCTCATATTGGGCAAACAGAAGTCTTATTTTCAACTAAGTAAAAACATTATTGTTACATTTATCAATACTTTTTTATAATATGTTATTAATTTTCCAATTTTACATTTGAATATTTAAAAAGCAACGTGGTGACTAGGTTAATCAATAGCTCAATAACAAAATCTTAGTACAAATCTCAGGCTACAACATCAAATATTTCTTCTCTTTTTCCCTTAACAATTACTGTCTCATGTTCAGGTTGGTACATTTCTAATTATATCAATACAATAAGGACATCATTGTTACATTTATCAATAAATTTTAGCTTATACATATCTTAATTACATTCTATCTTCATAAACAATCCATATCCTGTTATTGATTTTTACTCAATTTTTAATTTCTTGTTAATATTCCAATTTAACCTTTGATATTTATAATTTTCAGACTTTGGGTAACCAAAATTTCCCTTATTTCACTACATAACAAACTATAATATCCAAAATACATATTTTATCTATTTAAATATAATCTTGTTCTATTTCCTAAGAGTTATCTATTTCCCACCATATTAAATCATCTA